TGACGAGTTAAACAGTTTTCAATTCAATTCTTTCAATTCAAATATTTCTAATATGTGAACACTGGAGCGAGTACAAGGTGTAAAACATACTCACTTTAACTTGATGCTTTATTTCTCTAGCTATATGAAGAACTGTCTGCATAGTTTATATTTTTAATTTAAAAAAAGGTAACGGACATGCTTAATGTAGTGAACAAAGGAGTAAAAATGGCTTGTTTGATCGTAAAGGTTGCAGATCCCTTGATTAGGGTCAGGGTCAGGATATAGAAATGAATGAAAAATGAATGGAAGTCAACCCTGTAAAGATAGAAAGACAAACTGTGTGTGGTCCATGTTGACAGTACAGTAGATAAGCATTCGTGTAGGTGTGTGTTTCATAAACTCCTTTGGTTTTCCAAAAGTTAAAAACAGGGCGTGTTGCTTTCTGCATGACGTTCCTTTTGTTTTATTGGAGGAACCATCAACATTTTCTCACCTGTTTGTTTTACACCCTGAAGAAATATTCCAGACAGACACCTCCAGTCACGTCTGCACTTTTGTTTCTTACCTGATGTGAAATTTCAAGCGTCCCCATAAAACCCAAGAAAGAACATGACCAAAACTGCAATTGAAAGGACAATCTTGTTTAAACCAGTTACTAACCTGTATTTTTTTCACTTAGGAAGAATCTGTTGTGTGTTTTCTTTATTATAAGGGGCTGTTACACTCCCAGTTTGGAACCAATGGATTCCTGTAAATGAAAATAAGAGCTAAATCTGAGATATCTCCACATCATTTCTCACAAAGTGATACTAATCTGATAAGCTTCTGCTGCCAGTTACAAAATAAAGGTAGCACAAAGACCGGCAAAGCTGTTTACACCACACAACTTTATATCATGGACAGAAGAACATCACTGACCTGGATTGAGCTCTTGTTAGTTGATGAGCCGGGCTTTTGTTTCATTATTTGATTACAGCTTTGAGCAATCACTTAATCAATGCTTGGACATTTTGAACATTAATCACAGGAAGAGCTGACAACCTTCAGGGTTTTATTGTAGGACTATGTGAAGGGAGATAACATCAGCGACTCAACAAGAACGGTTCATTGTTCTAAAGAGATGTTACTGCGAGCTCCAAAATGACTCAATCTTTTTGTATTATTTAAAGCTACTCTGGGACTTGTGGCTCTTCCGGGATCATGCCAATTTAGCTCGGCTCACCTGAAGGAGCTGGCTCAACCGTCTTTCAAACAGACCCCCCAAAGGAGAAGGGTGGCATCTCACTGGGCTGCAACTGTTAGCGACTCAGCGTAGTACGGAAATAGTCCGACTCTGAATGTTTGCGACCAGGTTAGCCGTGTAGTCAGATTCTGAACTTCACAACCTGTTTTTGTGTGCAGTTCTTACAAAACTGTATTCTGGGGCGTGCACATTATTCCACCCAGGTTAAACCTGCCTTGGCTCACTTTGCACCAGTGGTGTAGTCTACGTTTTTGTAGTGTGTACGCTGTGCTTAGAAACCAAAGTGCACCGGTTAGTACAATGTAATCGTCAGTTCATTTTGATATTTAAGCATATTGAATATTTCCAATTTTCTCTGACGCTTATATTTGAATAAATGAACAACAAACCTGTACAACAGTTGGTTTTGTATTAAAACATGTATAGAAATTTTAAAACTTTATCAAAGCAAAACATGTTCAAGTATTAAGTAGTATTAATTATACAATAATTCGCTGCATAAGCGAATGTAACAAACAGGCGCTGGACACACACAGATCGTTACAGAAGCATTTAACTGCCATTCAACATATCGATGACACGTGCCTAATGATATGTCATGTATCATTGGGTACCAGCAGGACTCAAGGCTGATAAGAGACAAAACCAATCTGCCTGAAGAAAATCAACAATTGTGGCTTATCTGAATCTGACTCCCCCGTTTGGCCTCGAAAGCAGGCCGACTATCAAATTTCTCCTGGGACATGGGTAAACTAAGGAAAAAGCTTCTGTGCAGGCATGTCAGAAGTGCTGGCTGACCAACATCCTATCAGGACTATGGCCTATCTGGAAGTGCTTCATGAACAAATCTCACCGTCTTGTCATCAAATGCATATGTAATGTGTCTATAAATGTGCTTGCTGGTAGAGTTTTTTGACGTCTTAAATCGTGTCCTGATGGTACAAAATGTGAAGAGATCTTTTTTTGTAATACCACTATCCATCCTCATGGCCTTTTCCCTTTTTTCTATCTACCGGTATCTAAAAAGTATTCTGATAAAGAATAAGAGGTTGCGCTCCTGTAGCTGCAGCAACATGAACTCCGCTCATCTTTTGAATGACTGTATGAACATAATCTCACTGTATCTCCGTGCAATGATAAGAAAGCTTATTTTGATTCTGATGTTCTTTCTACTTCCTTTCCTTTTGTTCGTAATTTAAAAAAAAACAGCATTTATTTGCTCAAAATGTTATATTTAAATGAAATATTTGGTACAATACTTAAACAACTTGGGCAGCACGGTGGCGCAACTGGTAGAGCTGCTGCCTCTCAGCGAACAGGTCCCTGGTTCAAACCCCGGTCCAGGTGCCTTCTGGGTGGAGTTTGCATGTTCTCTCCATGCATGCGTGGGTTTTCTCCGGGTACTCCGGTTTCCTCCCACAGACCAAAAACATGCATGTTAGGCTGATTGGTAACTCTAAATTGTCCCTAGGTGTGAGTGAGAGAGTGAATGGTTGTTTGTCTCGTTTGTCTCTATGTGTCTCTGTGATGGACTTGCGACCCGTCCAGGGTGTACCCCGGCCCTCGCACAGTGATTGCTGGACATGGGCACCAGCGACCCCTGTGACCCAAAATGGAATAAACGGGTAAAGATAATGGATGGATGGATGGACTTAAACGACTTTTCTTTCACTTTAAAATGTATGTTTCTAAACATAATCCAAAAAGGGCTGGGCACTTTTAAAGAAAGGACCATGTCTCTCTATCTTTATCTTTATCTCTAGCTTAAGCATGGGGTGGAGTAATCATGATGTTGGTTTGTTTTGCAGCAGACATTTACAGGAAACAAGGACTGAAAATAAACATTACACAAATAAAAACTGCAGAGCCTTGTTGGAGGAATTTATGTAGAAAAAAAATCAAATAACTGACAAATAAAATAGTCTGATATATATTTTTTAATTAATAAGTTACTTTTCCTTGCAAAACAATACAAAACATTGCAAGAGAGCAAACAGACATCTTTATTTGCTCAGCTTTGTTTGCCTATTAATCAGCTACTCCACAGAGACTTTTCATTGTGTGCTCACATTTGATCATTCTTCTGATTTAACAAGCTCCAAAAATGAGGAGGGTTCACAGCACGACCAGAGGAACGTGCGCTTCATGCTTCGGCTCAGGTTGGTTTTCTACATCTACATGCGCCTCGAGCACATGTCCAAACCCTCTGAGTCATGGCGCTCAGAAGTTGTTGGCTCTCTGGCCATTCCTGACCTTTAATGCTGCAGCACGTGCTGTGTGTGTGTGTGTGTGTGGGGGGGGGG